ACTTTTATCTGTGACTTAAAAACACAACAGCAGCATGAATCTGTAAATGAAATCCACACGTGAAACTACTGGTGAATAGATCTCTTACGTGTTTAAATTAGTTAGTGATAACTTATAACCACAGATAATCCATTAATAAATACATTATATATGCATACAGATACACACACACTAGCAAAATGCCCATCAAAAATGAGTGGGGGAGGGGGAGTGGGGACACAGCGCCACCACCCCACGCTGATGCCGCCTCCTAGGAGTGTGGGGGGAAAAAACTTGCTTCACTGTCCCCTCTGTCCCCCTCTGCCAACAACCCGTGCCACTGCCACCACTGGCCTCCCCCCCACGCCATCCCCCCGCAACTCCAGGTCCTGCTCCTCGAAGGCAGCAAAGTGCCACCATGATGGCGGGGACAGAGGGGCAGGGGGCAAGGCCATCCCTGGCCCTGCACCCCTGCTCTGTGCCCTCCATCCCCACCATCGTGGTGACACTCTGCCACCTCCAAGGAGCAGGGCTGGGGGAGGGGGATGGCAGGCAGCAGCACTGGCCTTGGCCCCCCGCTCTGTCCCCACCATCATGGCAGCGCTCCGCATTCTGATTGGTTGTTTCACTAACCAATCAGAGTGCTCCAAGAGCATTACAGACAGAGAAACAGGTGGACGAAGCCCTTTATTATACAGACACACACACACTTTTTTATTATTTATTTAGTGAAAAGTGTAGTGATAGCACTATTGCCCTAATTAAATGTTATCCTATGATGTTAATTAGGAGATGGATACCACGATGAAAGGACACAGCTGTTTTTCGGTTATCACCATGCACAACCAAAGAAATAACTTAAAAACAACCAAATGGCACTGAAATACTTCCCTCTATTCTGCTTTTCATTTTTTAGTCTTCTTAGCATTCATCATATTGATACGCCCATCCATTGTAATTTGAGAAAAATGAGGCAGCATCTTATATCACACTGTTTTCACACCCAGAGACAAAAAAGTGAGCCTACAAATGCATTTAATTAATGTTGATAAATGCAAGTGATACAGTGGTGTACTGAATTAACTCAACAGTCTAACCATTGTGAATCTCTGGGGAAAAAAATGGTTTATTTAATGATCATGGAAGAAAATTATTTTGATATGATTCTCCTCTGATTTACACCAGTTTTATCCCAGTGTAGTTCCATTAACTTCAGTCAAGTCTCTCTTTACTTACAGTAGTGCAAGTGAGAAGTGGGCCCCAGGTCTATAAAATAGAAAAGAAAAACCTCCAGTCTCCCCTATAAATAACCAGTTGATTTTTTCTAGGCTTCCAAGGAGCCAGATTTGTGCTTCAACTGCTGATCACAAAATTGATATCTTCAATGGAAAGCACATTGATGCCTTCACTGCTACGCTGTTTACCGGATTATCGTATGAAAGTGAAGCAATTACTTGTAACATCTTCTGCCATTATAATTACTAATTTGCCCTTGACAAACTAATCGTGCCAGAATTTGAGGCAGAAATTGAATACCTATGGGTTATAAGTCCTGAATCAATTCAGAATCTAGCTAAACATTATGCAGTGCTCATTAATATGGTATCCAAGAATCAAAAAAGGCTCTTAGAACCAAAGTTAACTTGTATTTCTTATCAATATCAGCTACCTCCTTTTGACAACTTCTCATGCTGCAGTTCTCTGTGTACTGCATTCAGACCACATTTCCACCACATTCTATACCATGGTCATTATTTTCTTCTGTACCTGCTTCAAACAGGATGAAATTAATCAATTGCACACAAGTGACACGACACAGACTTATGACCTTGCCCAGCTTCCAATTGTTTCTAATTGATTAGCTCCAGACATAAGCATGTTAATAGCCAAAAATAACACAACTGGAAGCTATGATACAACATTAGGGTAGTTGACTGTGTGTGGCCCAGAGAGCACAGCCCTGAGCACCCAATTAAAGAATTAATGGTTATTGGAAACCAGAAATGTTATGTTAAATAATATAAAATATCTTTAATGTGCCTAAAATGTGATAAAACACTAGAACTTGGGAGCATGTAATGCTGCCTACAAGACTAGGGTATGTGCTCATGCCTGTAATCATGGCAAGCAGATTAGAATATTCAAAAGGACAGTCAAAACCAAAAGTCTGACCTGGCTTAAAATATTCATGAAACTACTCACAATAACCTATTATTTCAATATGTTTCTTTTTTTTGTAAAGAGACAAGTGAAGCTCTGCCAAAACCCTTTGTGGGAAGGAGGAAACTATGCCAATACCAGTTTCATTTCAACAGTTAAAAGAAAAAAATCCAGGTTCTCTTCAAGATGAAAAGGTCCATATACAAATGGGGTGTAGCCCTCTGCTGCTTCCATCTTGTGTATAGGCATTAAAGTTAAATTTACACCAACCTTTCGTGAGTGCTTCCTAGGGTCAGGACTGACCTTAGGCTCCTGAGGCTCCCAAAGGGAACTTGGGCACCTCTCACCTTCCACCAGCACATTGGACAAACTGTACTAACTTAGTTTAGGACACGAAAGCATGCAGAGCTGGCCTTAGGGGTGGGCAACATGGGCAACTGCCCAGGGCACTGTGCTCAGGGGGGCACCAGACACAAACACACATATATACACGAGCAGCCCATGCTCACAACAGCGCTCTCCCCTTTTCCCACCCCACCCTGGCTAATCCCCACCCCAGGCAGGAGGAGCAGTGCCCAGGCCAGCCAGTCCCCCTACTCCAGCCACTGGCACTGAGCTGGGCAGTGTGAGTGACAGCAGCAGTGCCTGCCTGCCTGGCACACAATGCCACTCTGCCCCCCCACGGGGCTGCGCCCCACACCCCTGCCTGCCTGCCTCTGTCTGCACCAGCACCGTTGACTGTGGGAGGGAGAGGGGTGGCTCTGGGAGGGGGGTGGATACCAAAATACAAGTTTGCCCAGGGCACCATTTTCCCTAAGGTTGGCTCTGGACACATGTAAAACTTAGCCCAGTTTAAATGGGGTTTAAACTTGAAATGGACAAGCACATTAAACTGGCTTAAAGCTTCCCAGATCGGTTCAAAAGTATACCTAGAAAAATCAAGTACCTTTTGAACCAGGGGAACTCATTGTTAGAACAAGGTCCATTTTACATGTGGACACCAAGCTTCGTGTGACATGGGTCCGGCTGGTCCTCCAAGTATACCACACAGCACAGCTCCTTACTAATACCACTCCCAATGGTGCAACTGGCTGGTCTGGAACACAGCCAGAACTCTACTGCTCCTTTTTTCCCTTTCATTAGCACTTTTTTTTTTTAAACCAGTGAGCTCCCTTGCACTTTGTTCAGTAAAAGCTATGTTTCTAACTATCTGCTATATCCTTACTCCCTAAGTGACTGCAGCCCCTCATCATGTTCCCCAGCCCGAGGGAACCCAAAAACATGGGTCCAACCATTTTCCCCTGCCCCAAGGACCCCAGTCAGACAAGTATACTGCAGAGTTTGGTCAAGTGTAGGCTGCTGAACTGTAGTGAAAATATGTTTTGAAACAAGGGAAAGCAGAAAAGTAAAAATGCCCCCAGACACAGGTCACCCACCCCCAAAGTGTGGGTGCAAACACTCTCCCCTCCATTTACCCACTGCCAGGCGTGCTGGGCTGGGTGCTCACTCTCACCACACGGTAGGAGCCACAGCACTTCAGCCCCTAGAAGGTCACGGTTCTACCTGGAATGCTAGGGCACTGCGCGTGTGGACACCTCTAATGCAGTTCCCAGTCAGTGACATTTGGGAACTGTTAAATTATTGTGTGTGTCCATACCCCTAGAAGGCAACTGCCCTGCTTCTTTGTCCCTAGGGTCAATTTTGGATGGGGAAACATATTTACCATTCACTTAACTCAAGAATTAAAGGAAAGCAGGCTCAACAAAGCAGTATAGCTTTTTCCTACACACACCAGACAGAACTTATTCTTGTCTATCAGCTATGCCAGTGCGCTTAATATCTTAATTTTTTTTATCTGCACTTTAAGAAAAAGCCAATATTTATCAGCCAAACAATGAACCCCTTAAGTAACTTGCACCAGCAGTATCAGGTGATGGGTGTGTTGTGATCACTGTTTATTGTGCTAAAAATGGTATAAACCCATTGCTCCCTTCTGCTCCTCACATGGGCATTGAGGGGTCCCATGTTCCCTTTGTCTCTCATGTTATACTTAGCTTATGAACTCATGAGGTGGTACCTAGACATTGGCTACCACAATGGGACTAAAAGCTTGACTGGGGCCCCTTGGTACTACCACAATACAAATAATAAATAATAATAATAATAGCAACAATTTTTATCTATGACATTCAAAATCCTTTCATTTATTTGTTTTTAAAGTTCCTCCATCACAATAAGAGGTTCAGAGAAACGTAAAATATTGTTTTGATTTCTTGATTTGTGTGTACTTAAAATATCAATGTATACTTGAAATTCACTGCACTATGGCGAATGACATACTATGATGACATCTATGTTGCAGGGAAGCACTCCATAATTTTGAAAGACTCATTTCGTGGAACTGATTAGACTGATGTGTCAGGCAATAAATCTATTGGCAGTTGTGACTTACCTGCACAAAAAATCTGATCCAAAGCTGACTGTGGAAGTCTGTGGAAAAACACTCAGACTGCTATGGGCTTTGACTGCTACCCAGACATTTATGTATGGGCCTCTTCACCACAACACCCGAGCTCAGGCTCCTGGGAGCAATGGGAAGCTGCATTACTTTGAAGGAGGCCAGTCATTACCCACCTAGCCAAGATCATCCTTCTGCTCCTATGATGACAGACAGGTTGAATATTACAGCACAGATCCCTTGAATCTAAGTTCAATAACAGGAAAATCTCTTCCTCACTGTCATTGGCTGCGGGACACAGTTGCTTGAACCATTTTCCGTATAAAAGCAATAAACGGAAGGGGCTAAATTGCTTCTCCACGTGCTGCCTCCAGTTAAAACTGCAAAAACAATCGGCACCTACCTGCAGATGAGTACAGATGGCAAATGCAAGCCAAGTGATCTCCCAGGCGAGGCCCGGGGCTCTGGAGCTGGTCATCCTTACGCCCTGTAGCACTGCGGAGAGAGATTGCTTCAGTTACAAACAGTCGAGCTGCTTTGCCAGAACTCAAGGACTACAGCAAACTGGGCAAAGGCCTGGAGCCGGGCTTTGGAAGCCACACAACCCAAACAGCCGAGGCTTGCGCTGGCTGGTGGAGCAGGCTCGCAGCACACGCCGTGGGCAGCCTGCGGGCTGGAGTCATTCCCCTTAGGGAAGGGGGGAAGAGGGGTCGGGGAAGTTTGCAACAGGGGGTGAGCCTGAACCCCAGTCAATCTGCCATCCATCAGCAGCCCCCCCAGCCCAAGCAGAGAGTGAAGTCCAGGGTCTCGGATGTGCCATTACAGCCTCCTCGCCCACTCGGGGCGCAGAGCCCAGCTCTGGAAAGCGCTGGCTCCAGGCAGCTGGGAGACAACGTGGTCAGGAGGGGGGAGCAGCCAGTCAGTGCGGGATCACCCCAGTGAAACTCGGGTGATCGCTTTTGTCGAAAGCTCCCAGGGAAATCCACCCCCGGGATCGCTCCTGCCGGACCGCGACTACAACCCCCGCAGCTGCGGGGCCGCCGGAGGTGCCACCCCGCGCCCTCGGCTGTGCTGCGGGGCCCCAGCCCGCGTGAGCTGGTCTTGCCGAAAAGACCCCAGCCTCGTCGAGGTCCGGCGCTCGGCCAAGCAGCACCTGTCCGCTCTCCCGCCGGCTCCTCTCAAGCGCGAGGATCACCCGGGCCCGCCCCCGCCTGCGAGTGCCGCCGCCGGCCCATGCCGCAGGGCTCGGCTCGGACAGCCCCGTCCGGGCTGCACGGAG